GGCCATAACATTGTCATTTGAAATAGTCACCACAGCTTGCAACAGCTGTGTCAGGGTGATTTCTTCCATAAAGGTTTCAGTTCAACCCACGTGCACACATTTCCTTAAATTTTTGAAGTAGGCACATGGATTCCACAACGGCATAGCTGTCTCAGGGAATAGCCCCAAACCCTTTCAAATCTTTCTTAATTTCATACTAAGTCTCACGCCTATTTACCACATGTTGCACTAGAAGCTTTCTTGGGCCCATGGTCACTTATTTTCCAGAAACATGCACCGAAAACACTGTAATAATACGAAATCTTCCGATTCTGTAATGCTTAATTACCCGGAGGCTGGCTGGTAAACAATGGAACGGCGGCACATGTGAGGCTGGCTGAGGCCGCACATTGTCGTACCATCGTACGAAGGTCGCTGAGCGTTTTTGTCCAACTATGCTTGGGGCAAATATTAGCTACAATATCAACAATAACAGTTCTAGCATTTCGCTATGCAAGCGTCCTATGCGGGGTCCACTGTATAGCAAAAAAAAAAATAATCAAAGTTTTTTTTTACAAGCAATTCAAATTAAAAAAACAAAGATGATCTTTTTTTACATACTATCAAGTAGAAAAAACGATATATAGTTTGAGACCGTTTACAGTTATGAAGCTCTGTCCCAGTCTCCTGCAAGTCGTATGCCAGGGTTGTCTAGTACTGCAGGTTATGGTCTTTTCTTTCAATAGGTATTATTTTTTTCAAGTGGTTGGGCAATGCTGGTGTAACAGTTCATCGAAAAGGCCCAGTGGTGCACTTATGTTTGCCTACCACAGCACACAAAACATGCATAATGAGGACATGTTTCACTGAACATCTGGTAGTCTTCAGAGTGCATACCCACTGGCTTACTTTGCAATCACCACTAGCACTGGACACACACGGAGTGCTGTCTTCAAGGCATATGTCCAAGTGGACACATTCCTCTTGACGTATTAGTCCTGCGGCTTTTCTGATACCGAGGCAAGCATTTTTGCGCAATAAACTGTTCATTTCCGCATCACTGTCATTTATCGCTTATAATCCTTCACATATTTTTCAGCTGTTTTTGGTCCAACTGCAGCCTCAAATGCCTAATCACACATGATGCCACTATGATCTTAAACTTTCAAACCACCTTTGCTGGCCTTAAATCACTCACACACCACTAGTTTGCAGGCAATGTCTTTAACCAATCGTCAGGCATAAAGCCAGCCTTTTCACAATGATCGTTGAGATCTATCTCCTGCATCTGTTTTTCTATTTATCACACCAATAACATACCTCTCACCATTTTTCTAACACTTTGCGTCGCTGTTTCATAATCACATTGCACCATTTTCAAGAACATCTCCTGATGCCGTTTTACCCTCTCACTTAGTAAGATGTTGATTGGGTTTATTATGCCAACCTGACCAGCTCTCGACACACTTCAAGTATCTTTCGTACTTTCAATTTACTCTTCCTTCATTTCAATCGTCATTAGCACCTTTTTTTTAAAGGTTTGGTCACTTAGAAGACTTTCTATCGGCCCATGTACTTATTTTCTGCAGAAACAAGCACCAAAACATATATTGGAAATGTACCGAATGTATCCTTAGATGCACGCACACTGGCTGCTTGTAAACACTGCACACACGGTGGCAAGTTTCAGTGCCACACTGGACACATCTCGTACGAAACGTATCTAATACGTGTATTTCGACTGAACGAGCAAAATTTTTGCGATATAATTGCATCAATACTGATTTATCGAATACCAATGCCAAATCGAATACCAGGGGTCCACTGATTTAAAAGCAGTTGACAGATATAGAACTTCAGAATCTTCTGGTTAGAGTTCCATATTTTGGCCTTTTATGTTGTGAATTATATCTACTCAGGTGAGTTGAACATGAGGGATATCAAATATGTATTTGTATTGCATTGTTTAACATTTTTCTTGCAGCTTCTCAAGAACACTAACCTTGCTTCCAATTCTATTCTACCAGCACATATCACCACTGCCAATACCACTAAAACAGCACCAAATTACCCAAAACAACCACCACGCACCAAACTGACTCACAGTACCCCTAGTAAACCAAACCTGCTTGCTCCATCTTCAAGGTATACACAGTACTTTAATTTCTCTTGCTGCAACACTATTTGAAATTCTCTCGTATTTGGAAAGTAAGTTTTAAATTTGAAGACTGTTTATGAATTTTTAATTTCTCAAAGTAAGAATTTAAATCTTTAATTATGGAAATTGATTTAATATGGAATTTTTGGAAACGGAAATGTTTTAAAATCTGAATATAGAATGATCTCTGAAAATCTGAAATTATGTACTGAAATATATTATAGTAATTTTGAGAACATGAACATTTTCTCAATTCTTTTTTTTATTTATAATATTCTCTGAAAAATCCAAACTTTACAGAGTATGAGAAAATTCTAAATATGAATTAGGAAAATTTCTTTAATACAGATTTTTTCTAAATAATGTGAGATAATAATTAAAACTGGCTGGATATAAAATCACACTAATACGGCAAGCATTGGGATGAGGTGGATATAAGACTTTTTGTCTATGAACTTTCAAACACAATCCAATAATTATTGTGGGGCTCAGACACACATCCCATGAATTTATTAAACAAAGTGTTGATGGTAAAGTTAGAAGAATTGATTAAAGTCTCCTAAGGATACAATGTTTTACTTCAAACAAGGCTGTCTTTTATTAATTTCTGCAGCACTTAACTGTTCTTTACATATGATCTTTCATACAACACCTATTGTTGGTCACACTTCATATCTTTACAGATATACAATGAGTGACAACAGCTGAACATAAAAAAACTGTGGCTATATCCTAAGGCTAATAGTGAAAAGCTCTGTTCCACAAGGCACAGTACTCGCTCCCATCTTGTTTCTCATCCTCATATCTGACATAGACAAGGATGTAAGCCACAGCACCATGTCTTCCTTTGCAGATGACACCCGAATCATCATGACAGTGTCTTCCAGTGCAGACACTGCAAGGCTCCAGGCAGACATCAACCAAATCTTTCAATGGGCTGCAGAAAACAATATAAAGTTCAATGATGAGAAATTTCAATTACTCCGATATGGTAAACAAGAGGAAATTAAAACTTCATCAGAGTACAAAACAAATTCCTTCCACAAAATAGAGCGAAAAACCAACGTCAAAGACCTGGGAGTGATCATGTCGGAGGATCTCACCTTCAGGGACCGTAACATTGTATCCATCGCATCTGCTAGAAAAATGACAGGATGGATAATGAGAACCTTCAAAACTAGGGAGGCCAAGCCCATGATGACACTCTTCAGGTTGCTTGTTCTATCTAGGCTGGAATATTGCTGCACACTAACAGCACCTTTCAAGGCAGGTGAAATTACTGACCTAGAAAATGTACAGAGAACCTTCACGGCGCGCATAACAGAGATAAAACAGCTCAATTACTGGGAGCGCTTGAAGTTCCTGAACCTGTACTCCCTGGAACGCCAGCAGGAGAGAGACATGATTATATACACCTGGAAAATCCTAGAGGGACTAGTACTGAACTTGCACACGAAAATCACTCACAACGAAAGCAAAAGACTCGCAGGGGTGTCACTAGCACGTTAAGAGACAATACAATAAGTGTCAGGGGCCCGAGACTGTTCAACTGCCTCTCAGCATACATAAGGGGGATTACCAATAGACCCCTGGCTGTCTTCAAGAAGGCACTGGACAAGCACCTAAAGTCGGTACCTGACCAGCTGGGCTGTGGCTCGTACGTTGGAGTGGGTGCAGCCAGCAGTAACAGCCTGGTTGATCAGGCTCTGATCCACCATGAGGCCTGGTCACAGACCGGGCCACGGGGGCGTTGACCCCCGGAACTCTCTCCAGGTAAACTCCAGGTAAACTAACAGTCAAATCTGACACCTCTGAAGCTTACAGCTATATTCTCACTTCCCTCGCATCCATTAGTGTAACCTTATAAATGTGACATTTGGGAAGGAAATAATGAACAAATCTGGATAATGAAAGAAAATGGATTGAGCATTTGCAATTAGGTTTGATGGAATATTATTACATATAATCAAAAAGAAATCCTAAACTAGGTCAGGTGGAACCATCAGAACTAAATACCCAAATCCTGCCTGAGTCAATGAAAAACTTCCTCTCACAACCATGGATCTGAAGAACAGAAGAAATGGGAGGTGACGAATAATACCCTGACCAATGTGCTAAGTTTGAGGACCAAGGACCCAGGGAGAGAGTGAACAGTGTCAGCCAGTGTGAATGCAACAGCAACAAATTTCAGTAAAGAAAAACTATTTAGCCGATATTTTTCTTGTGCAAGAAGCTGTTATTACACACACACATTACAGTCTACCTGGAGGTTGTTCCAAGGGTCAACATCCAGTGGCCCAGACCTTGACCAGTACCATTTGTAGTTATATACCGAGGCCGGTGTAGAAGTTTGGGGTCCTTAGGTCTTTCACCACAGAATGTGACCTACAACAGTCAACTAACTCCTAGGTCAGTATTTCCTGCCCGGTGACCTAGGTCAGCTTTAAAGAGACTTTGTCCACAGATCTAGTTTTGGCTAGATTACGGTACCATTGTAATCTAAATAAAAACTTACTATTCAATAAACAATATTATCCTGTAACCAATGAATGTCCTAAAGAAAGCCCTATTAAACTTATTATTTATAGTAAATAAGCAAAATTTTTGGTTTATACGCTAGTCTTCCTAATGAATTTCACCACTGGTGCTCGGGGAGCAACTTTTGAGAATTATGTTAATAAAATGAGGAAGTAAATAAATTATATTTGGGTTAATCAAACCTTACAAACTCATTTTCCCTTCTAACATCATAACCCACAACAACAATACACATTTCATCTACTCGTATAAGGGCTTGCAAATATTCTAGATACTGGTTAAACAACTTTCTGTTTTATATGCATGACTTATTGCATCAGCCCACCTTGTTCATCCATATGTTGGCCTTGTGTTGGGTGAAAGAGCGTGCGTGAGGCCGTCTTCCGTCTTCGTCTTGTTGGGGTTGTAAGGGCCACTGACAGCTTATGACGTATCGAACCCCTGCTAGTAAGAACATAAGAACAAACCATACCACGGATGGGATTAGAACCCGCGATCAGAGAATCTCAAAACTCCAGACTGTCGCGTTAGCCATAAGAACATACGAAAGAAGGAACACTGCAACAGGCCTACTGACCCATGCGAGGCAGGTCCAATTCTCCCACCGGCTTAAGCCAATGCCTTGACCTAGTGAGGTCAGACACGTCACTTAAGGGAGGAGCACGGCATCCGACCTAGTAGCACAAGCTAGTTAGATCCAACTCACACTCACCTGCACCCACTCATGCATTTATCCAACCTATTTTTAAAACTCCACAACGTCTTAGTGTCTATGACAGTACTCGGGAGTTTGTTCCACACATCCACAACTCTATTACCAAACCAGTGTTTTCCTATATCCTTCCCGAATCTCAATTTTTCCAATTTAAAACCATTGCTGCGAGTCCTGTCTATGTTAGATATTTTCAGCACGCTATTTACATCCCCTTTATTAATTCCTGTTTTCCATTTAAACACCTCAATCATATCCCCCCTAATTCTACGCGATTCTAGAGAGTGCAGATTCAGAGCCATCAGTCTATCCTCATAGGGAAGTTTTCCAGTGCATTTATATCCATTTTGTAATACGGTGACCAAAACAGCGCAGCATAAACTAAATGGGAAACCTAACCAAAAATATATGGGGGG